GTGACAGTGGCTGCCTCACAGGGCTGTCATGAGGATTCTCTGGGATAACTTTAATGCTACCTGACATGGAACCTGGCACATAGGAGGAGCTCGATAAATTAAATTAATTATAATCAATAGCAAAAATGAAAAACAAATGTTGAGTAGTAAAGGATCAGGGGACTTCCCTGGTGGTCCCGTGGGTAAGACTCCTCACTCCCAATGCAGGGGGCCTGGGTTCGATCCCTGGTCGGGGAACTAGATCCCACATGCACGCCGCAACTAAGAGTTCATGCGCCGCAACTAAAGATCCCACGTGCCGCAACTAAGACCCGGCGCAGCCACAAACAAAAAAAGGTAAAGGATCGGTCAAAAAATGATAGCACAGCCACATGGCTGCATATCACGTGACTGCTAAAATGTTTTCTTGAAAATCGTTTGAGGACATGGTAAAATTATCATAAGTGAAAACATGGATGTTAAAATGGATATTACAACGTTTACACTGTATGGTCTCAACTCTGAAAATGAAAATACATGCATATTTTTTAAAAAAGTCTGCTGGGAAATTAATGCAAGGGAATAGTGATTCTAGCTACACGGTAGGAGTCAATCCTCTAAGCTTTTCTGCTGTTTGTCTTTCCCAATGACTTTCCACAATGACTATGCATTCTTTCATAGCCAGGAAAAACGATCGACATATGTTATGGAGAGAACAGCACTGACAATAAGAAAGGCACGAACTCAGCATTCTGTTGAGCCTGCTTTGGAAGCTACTGCTCTCCGCCCCCGAGCCTCAAGCTGGGGCTTCTCAGCAAGGCGACCTTCCCAGAGAAGCAATGATTGCCTTTGGTTCAAAGTCAGTCCAGCGAGGATGTCGGGTCTGCTTGGCCACCCTGGGGACCAGGAGACAAGCGCTCCATGTTCCTGCCTTTTCGGGGGACTATGGGCTCCCAGACCCAGAGTCTGGTCCATTCATTCACCCAAGAACATGCTGGCGCTCTGGGGGGCCCAGCCCCACAAATACAAAGAGGGAAGCCACAAGGGGCTCAGAGTTGGTCAAGAGATGGACCAGGAGACAGTATGGGGAGTAGCAGGGCCGAGGTACACGTGTGCGGTGGGGATCACAGGAGGGCCTGGCCCTGCCTGTGGGAGGCAGGGGAGGGGGTGGGCTCAGGGCTGGGCTCCTGGCAGCCGAGAGGCAAATGCGGGGACGGAAAGGCGTGAACGCACGAGGCCTGAGACGGGAGCTGAAAGTCATTCACTGTGGCTGTTTGTGGGGCATGAGGTCCTGGTGTCGGGTGGGCAGGGGTCCTGCTCATCACGCTAAGGGGTTTGGATTTTATCCTCAAGGCAGTAAAGAGCCACTGAAAGATTTTAAGTCGGGAAGAGACCCGCTGATGTAGCCTTCGATACTCACTCTGGGTACAGGGTAGAAAGTGCACGGAGAGGGCAAGACGAGAAGTCAAGGTGCCAGTTAGGGGCTGTTTGTGGTGATCGAGACAAGAATTAACATGGGCTCAGACCAAAATGCGGGTTCAAACCAAGATGGAGAAGACAAAGCAGATGTGAGGAGCATTAAGGCGGGAGAATCAAGAGGACCTGGTAACCTCCTAGGTACCTGAGGAAGACAGGAGTCAGTGGCTGGTCCCCAGGACACTGGGTTCATGGGGTGGCACATCCTCACGACAGAGAATACAGGTGGGAGCACAGATCCCGGGGCGGGGAGAGGTTACGACCCTGAACGTGCTGAATGTGGGGCGTGTGCGGCCAGACGGCCAGTAGAGAGCGCGCATCAATCTGGGGGTCAGCAGGGGGTCTGGGCTGAGGGGGTGTATTTGGAAGGCATCGACCAGAGCTCTGTTGGGAGTCACGGGAGTGATGTGACCTCCCAGGGAGAGCGTGTGACACTGAGAGGAGAGGACAAAATATGGAGAACACCAGCATGACCATGGTGAGGGGAAAGGAGGCACTGGGGGGGCGGGGGGTGGGAGGCAGTGAGCAGAGAGAAGCAGAAAATGGGGGAGGGGGGGAGAGAGAGAGGGGGTCTCATGGAAGACAAGGGAGGGAAGGGAGGGCTTCCAGAAGGAGGCTTTCGAGGGTGGTCTTGGAACAGCACAGCCCAGGCAGGTCTACCCACTGTCCAGTGCAGTACCAGGGGCCCTCTGGGGCCCTCTCCTGGAACCATTTGGTGAGGCGCTATGGTGCAGGCCCGTGCACCAGGGTCTCCAGCACCTACCTGGACCCAGCAGATACTGAACACGTGTTCACCGAGGGAAGAATGGGATGGGGGGCGGCCGGGAGGCGTGGGCTGAGGGATGCCCAGCTTGCTGCTCTCCTACCTGGGTCTGGGGAGGGCAAGCAGTGCTCCCGGTACCAGACCCCTCCAGCCCCAGAGGGGAAGCGTGTGCGGGTCCAAGGTGGTGGGCAGGACCCCGGGACGGATGGCCAAGCGCTGACCCATTGATGGGGCGGCCTCAGGCCCCCTACTGAGGGCAGCTGGAACAGCACAGGTCAGAGTTGCGGGAGCCGGCGGAGCAGCGCACAGGCATTTGCTGAGAGACAGTGCCGCCTAGTGGCAGGAGGTGCTCACACCAGGCTTCTACGGGACGGTCCCGCCCATCACCCCGAATGCTCCTAGGCCTTTCTGGGCCTTTCATGCTGGGGTCCTGAGCACTGGAAGCAATGATCCAGGGCTCTTGCCACCCGGGTGGCACCTGAGACTCTGACAGCAACATGCCCTGTGGCATCAGCTGAGGTCGGCTCTGCCAACGGGGAAGGTGGGCAGGCTAGAATGTTATCAAAGCCCCATCTGGCCCCATGGTGTGGGCAGAAATGTAGGGTCCTGCTCTCAGGCTTGAACCTCCATAGTGGGAGAGACTGGACTGCTTGCTGTTTTGTTGGCACAAAGAAAATACAGTAAGCCTGTGAGGCTTGTCGCTGGAGGTGACTGTGGGGCGAGGGGCAGACTGAAGGGCAGCCCAGCAGCAGAGAACCATCTCCCCAGAGATTCTCACCCAGCTCCAGGTTCACTCCCAGGAGCCTGCTTCCCGGAGAGAAGTACCCAAGGCCAGCCTGTCTGTCTGTGGACGCCCCACACCCAGGAGGGCCCGGATTCCAGGGCCACGAAATCACACCCACAGGCCCACGGCTCACTCCTGACTGCTCAGCAGTTTCAGGCCAGGTGAGGTCACCGTGACTGCCTTAAATAACTCAGCAGAGCTCATTTTTATTTTCAGTTGTTGGTTTAGCTGAGCAAGACAAAAAGAGTTCTCTTAAAAACACTTTTTAAAACTTCCCCTTTAAACAACAAGGTCCTACAGTACAGCACAGAGAACTATATTCAATATCCTATGAGAAACCATAATGGAAAAGAATATTTAAAAAAAGAATGTATGTATATATGTAAAACTAAATCACTTTGCTGTAGAGTAGAAATTAACACAACATTGTAAATCAACTATACTTCAATTAAAAAAAAAAGAAAAAGAAAAATAGGAAACCAAAAAAGCCATTCAGAATCTAAAAAAAAACTTCCCTTATTGTAAAAGAAATGTATGCGCAATGTTAAAAAAAATTAGTTTTACAAAAAACTGTGTGACTTGGAAAGTCAAAGTTCCTTATGTGGTTCCACCCTCCATCAAAATTTTCTCTAAACAACCTGGTAAATATTCTTTCAGCTTCTTTTGCTCTATACACATACATTCGTGCGTGTGTGAATATGGGCAGGGGGTAGGGAGTGTATGTGGTGGTGTTTTCTATACTGACAGTTCTATAGCTTCTTTTGATTTTTTTCCCATTAACAGCTTTCTACTTAGAGGCATTCTTACCCCTGCAGCTCAAATTCAGGTTAACCCAGTGACCCAAGACCAGGCTGGGAGAAAAGGTGATGCCCCAGGGACTCAGAAGCCTGAGGGTTTCAAGTGAATGCGGTTGGGGAGCAGGGGAGAGGGACCCACGCTAAAACCCAGATCAGCCCTGGAGGAGAAAAGACCTCTCCCAGAAGAAATATCCCAGGACGGGGTGGGGGGGCAGACTCCACACCCCTTATCTCCTCCCCAGCGGTGGCTGACAGCACAGCTGGCGCAGACAGGGTGCGGCACGAGGGTGGCCCGGGCGAGAGGCTGTCCCCGGGAGCTGCTGGGGCCACGGGAACACCCTCTACATTTCTGCTGACTTGGGCGCACAGGCTGGGTCACACCCAGCGTCAGAGCTCGGGAACCGGGTCCTGCGCCAGGGCAGAGCCCGGCGTGTGACATCCAGGAGAACAAGGGCAGCCTCAGGAAAAGCAGTCCCGTGTGCCAGGTCTGCTCACCTCCCCGGCCTCAGGGATCAGCAAACACGCCCATCAGCACTCTGCTCCTGGGAGCCCGCTCACACCAGACAGGTCACCGGCTGCACGATTCAACAGCCAAGAATTCCAAGCAATTGGAAATTGGTGGTCAGGGTCCTGGGCTACAGGGTCAGGATAAGGCTTCCAGAAAGGGAGAGCCCATTAAGTGCCCAGCAGCTTCCTGCGGCTCCAGGACAGACAGAGACAAACCCAGCTCTGCAATCGGGCTGCAGGTTTGCATCCTGGGCCCCCCAGGAACTGGCTGCAGTGGCTTATTGCTTCAGAACCCCCGTTTCCTTGCCTGCTAAGTAGAAGTAATACAGCTGGCAGCTCAAGCCTGCTAGACAATAAACACTCAGTGTTACCCACTACCATTATTACAACTGGCTGAGGGTACTCAAAAGAGAAATAGCTCCCTTGGGCACACGGAGACCTCCAGGACCACTGGGGCCACCTTCCTGGGCACAGCCAGGAACACAGCAGCCACTGTGCAGCCCGCACCTAGAGCAGGCCCCTGCACACAAGGGTGGTTTCCTTGTCCCTGAACAGGGTACTCGGGGGCGGGGGGCAGGGGCAGGCAAAGGCTGAAGAAATGCAACCACCAGAGCCTCTGCAGCTATGGGGCCCCCAGACACCTCCATTTCTTCCTCTTCCTCCCCCAGGCCTAGAAAGGGATCCCCCCCATTACCTGATTGGGTCCTTGGCTCCCAGCTGGGGAAGGAGAAGGGACCGGCCTGGAGGCTCTGGAGGCTCTGCAGGCTCCACGTCTAGACGCTGCTGCCAGCTGGGGCTCAGCTCTGTGGGTGTGGGAGCTGCCGCCCCGAAATCTCTCTCTCGTGGACCACCCATCTGGAAGGGCTGGAGCTACGCTTTCTAAAGGAACCACAACTTGCTGTCGCTGGCCACGCGGGCCCTCGACTCTCCCTGGTCAATGGACTCACCCTGGTCGATGGAGTGCTGGGGCAGCTGGCTGAGCTGGCTGCTGACCACCCCCGCGTAGGTGCGCAGGAACTCCTCCTCGCTGGCCGTCAGCTGCAGGGGCGAGAGGGCTGGGTGAAGGGTGGCCCGCACCCGCTCCCTGGGCCTCTGTTGTTGCGAACTGACCTTCTAGTTCCAGGGTGAGCACCCTCTCCCCTCTGCTCCCACCCCTAAAACTTGGTCCATGGGGCCCACAGGCCTTGGCACCGGGATCAGATCGGGGACGGGGATTCCAGCATAGGGCAGGCCCTGCTTGGGGAGCCCCTCCCTCTCCTGTTGAGAAGGGCCACTGCACATCTGCTGCCCTCTCGGTGGCTGTCCTGCCCGCCGGTCACCACCGGAAGAGAAGACTCCCGGTAGAGGGGAGGAAAGGAAGGTCAGGGCCTTTAGGACCCTCACCCACTTGGCCCAAACATGGCACAGGGAGTGCCATGCCGAACTGGACATGCTGGTGCCTGTGCCCGGGAGCCTGAATTAGCCACAGCCAAGCCAGAGGCCTGGCATCCCCATCCCCAGACCACAGCTGCTACAGAAGGTGGTCACAGCCCCTCTGCCCGCCGGCATCAGGCACCCTCCTTGGGAGACCTGCTGCTCGACGCCCCGAAGGCACTCACGTTGGAGCCCATCTTCCTCAGCATGAGCAGCACTCGGACCTTCTGCTGAATGTACATCTCCTCCGGACTCTTCCCGGGGGCCCCCTCGCGGTTCATGCCCTGGCCAGCTCTGGGGACTCCTGCAGAGCGAGGAGAAGCATGGGGTGGGGCGGTGTCAGGACGAGACATACCCGCATACCGGCACAAGTTGTCAGGCCGCCCATGTTGCATCAGGGGCTCGTTTCTGAGAGCCCAGAGCAGGTGGCGAGCTGCCCGTTCCTCCCTCACGCCTGCTGGCCCGACAGCCAGACTGAGCAGGGATCTCCCCGGAGCAGGCACTGGTGGCCAGCCCCCTCTGTGTGTGGAGCTGTCAGGTCCAGGTGGCTGAGCTGACCCAGACTTCTTGCCAGCTCTACCTTCCAGCCACCCCTCAGCAAGGCTCCTGCTAAGAGCCCAGGAGATGTGCTGCATGAAACCCGAAGTGTCCCCGTCTTTCAAAGCCAGCAACTTCCATGAGGAGCAAAGTGACATGATCAGAGGCAGCCGGCTGGGGCCTGTAGCTGGAGAAGCCATGGGATCAGTACCCAGCCCCCAGACACCAAGACAGCTCCCTCTGCCAAAGTCCCTGACGAGTTCAAGAGGCTGCCTCCTGGGCTGGGCTCCAAGGAGTCCCTCGATGGGGACGGCGAGCCCGGGGCTGCGGGCACACACACCTGCCCGGGCTCGCTGCCGCCACTCTCACAAGCCCACCCACCTGTCACAGGGTGGCTCCTGCACGCGGCAGCTGCGTCCAGGTGCAGCAGGGACCCGACCTGCAGAAAGGTCCCAGGAGAGAAGTCCCAGGGTTTCCTCCCTCCAGGAGGAGCTGGGGGGGAGGAAGCCGGGCGTGGAGGGGTTTGGGTTACACACTTGTAACTCCTGGATGAGTCAGAAATAACGCAGCAGCTGGTGGGGGTGGAGCCCTGGCAGCCCTGGTGCCAAGGAGCTGCGCTCGGAGGACCAAGGGAGCCGGGCTTGCGGGCCAAGGACACTCCTCACACCATCCATCCCTCAGGGGCCAGCAAGCCTTGGACCAGCAGGCTCTCCCAGGTGAAGGGCAGACTCAGAAAGGCGCCAGAGCCCTAGGCAGCAGCCTCCCTGGAGGCTCCTGTCAACCGCTCAGTCCCCAGAAGCTAACAGGGGCTCCGGCCCTAAAAGCCTGCACAATAGGGCAAAATGTGTATTGCGTAGCAATGCAGCTGTGCACTCAATGCAGTGCCGTCTACTTACAGGGCCTTCCTTTCCACCACCAAAGCCCAGGCTCCCTCTTCTACTGTCTGCTATCCTGTCACCTCCTCCTGGTTCAGAAAAGGGTCTAATTAACACTGGTAACCAGGAAGGAGGGGTGAGCTGCCTGCAGAATGACCTCTGGTGAGAGGCAGCCAGCCATCCCCTGGGGCCAGGTGCACGAGCGCAGCGGACAGCCCTCAGTTCCCAGCACAGCTGAGTGGGGAGGCTCGGTTCTGGGGGATCACTCCTCCTCCTGTCCACCCCTTCTCACTTCCTTCCACTCCACCACCCAGCGCAAGTAGCCGGAATGATTTTTTATTTTTTTAATTTTTATTTATTTATTTTTTTTATAAGTTGTGTGCTCTTTTTTAATTTTTTTATTTTATTTTATTTATTTTTTTATACAGCAGGTTCTTATTAGTCATCAATTTTATACACATCAGTATATACCTGTCCATCCCAACCACCCAATTCAGCACACCACCATCCCCACCCCGCTGTGGCTTTCCCCCCTTGGGGGGAAAAGTTTGTTCTCTACATCTGTGTCTCAACTTCTGCCCTGTAAACCGGTTCATCTGTACCATTTTTCTAGGTTCCACATACATGCGTTAGTATACGATATTTGTTTTTCTCTTTCTGACTTACTTCACTCTGTATGACAGTCTCTAGATCCATCCACGTCTCAACAAATGACTCAATTCTGTTCCTTTTTATGGCTGAGTAATATTCCATTGTATATATGTACCACAACTTCTTTTTTTTTTTTTTTTTTTTGCAGTATGCAGGCCTCTCACTGTTGTGGCCTCTCCTGTTGCGGAGCACAGGCTCCGGACGTGCAGGCTCAGTGGCCATGGCTCACGGTCCTAGCTGCTCCACAGCATGTGGTATCTTCCCGGACTGGGGCACGAACCCATGTCCCCTGCATCGGCAGGCAGACTCTCAACCACTGCGCCACCATGGAAGCCCACCACAACTTCTTTATCCATTCGTCTGTGGATGGGCATTTAGGTTGCTTCCATGACCTGGCTATTGTAAATAGTGCTGCAGTGAACATTGGGGTGCATGTGTCTTTTTGAATTATGGTTTTCTCTGGGTATATGCCCAGTAGTGGGATTGCTGGATCATATGGTAATTCTATTTTACTTTTTTAAGGAAACTCCATACTGTTCTCCATAGTGGCTGTATCAATTTACATTCCCACCAACAGTGAAAGAGGGTACCTTTTTCTCCACACCCTCTCCAGCATTTGTTGTTTGTAGATTTTCTGATGATGCCCATTCTGACTAGTGTGAGGTGATACCTCACTGTAGTTTTGATTTGCATTTCTCTAATAATTAGTGATGTTGAGCATCCTGTCATGTGCCTCTTGCCCATCTGTATGTCTTCTTTGGAGAAATGTCTATTTAGGTCTTCTGCCCATTTTTGGATTGGGTTGTTTGTTTTTTTAATATTGAGCTGCATGAGCTGTTTATATATTTTGGAGATTAATCCTTTCTCCCTTGATTCGTTTGCAAATATTTTCTCCCATTCTGGGGTTGTTTTTTCGTCTTGTTTATGGTTTCCTTTGCTGTGCAAAAGCTTTTAAGTTTCATTAGGTCCCATTTGTTTATTTTTGTTTTTATTTCCATTACTCTGGGAGGTGGATCAAAAAAGATCTTGCTGTGATTTATGTCAAAGAGTGTTCTGCTTATGTTTTCCTCTAAGAGTTTTATAGTGTCTGGTCTTACATTTAGGTCGCGAACCCATTTTGAGTTTATTTTTGTGTATGGGTTAGGGAGTGTTCTAATTTCATTCTTTTACATGTACCTGTCCAGTTTTCCCAGCACCACTTATTGAAGTGACTGTCTTTTCTCCATTGTATATATATCCTTGCCTCCTTTGTCATAGATTAGTTGACCATAGGTGCATGGGTTTATCTCTGGGCTTTCTATCTTGTTCCATTGATCTATATTTCTGTTTTTGTGCCAGTACCATATTGTCTTGATTACTGTAGCTTTGTAGTATAGTCTGAAGTCAGGGAGTCTGATTCCTCCAGCTCCATTTTTTTCCCTCAAGACTGCTTTGGCTATTCGGGGTCTTTTGTGTCTCCATTCAAATTTGAAGATTTTTTGTTCTAGTTCTGGAAAAAATGCCATTGGTAGTTTGATAGGGATTGCACTGAATCTGTAGATTGCTTTGGGTAGTAGAGTCATTTTCACAATATTGATTCTTCCAATCCAAGAACATGGTATATCTCTCCATCTGTTGGTATCATCTTTAATTTATTTCATCAGTGTCTTATAGTTTTCTGCATACAGGTCTTTTGTCTCCCTAGGTAGGTTTATTCCTAGGTATTTTATTCTTTTTGTTGCAATGGTAAACGGAAGTGTTTCCTTAATTTCTCTTTCAGATTTTTCATCATTAGTGCATAGGAATGCAAGAGATTTCTGTGCATTAATTTTGTATCCTGCAACTTTACCAAATTCATTGATTAGCTCTAGTAGTTTTCTGGTGGCATTTTAAGGATTCTCTATGTATAGTATCATGTCATCTGCAAACAGTGACAGTTTTACTTCTTCTTTTCCAATTTGTATTCCTTTTATTTCTTTTTCTTCTCTGATTGCCACGGCTAGGACTTCCAAAACTATGTTGAATAAGAGTGGTGAGAGTGGCATCATTGTCTTGTTCCTGATCTTAGAGGAAATGCTTTCAGTTTTTCACCATTGAGAACGATGTTTGCTCTGGGTTTGTCATATATGGCCTTTATTATGTTGAGGTAGGTTCCCTCTATGCCTACTTTCTGGAGAGTTTTTATCATAAACGGGTGTTGAATTTTGTCAAAAGCTTTTTCTGCATCTATTGAAATGATCATATGGTTTTTGCTTTTTCAATTTGTTAATATGGTGTATCACATTGATTGATTTGCATATATCGAAGAATCCTTGCATCCCTGGGATAAATCCCACTTGATCATGGTGTATGATCCTTTTAATGTGTTGTTGGATTCTGTTTGCTAGTATTTTGTTGAGGATTTTTGCATCTATATTCATCAGTGATACTGGTCTGTAATTTTCTTTTTTTGTAGTATCTTTGTCTGGTTTTGGTAACAGGGTAATGGTGGCCTCATAGAATGAGTTTGGGAGTGTTCCATCCTCTGCAATTTTTTGGAAGAGTTTGAGAAGGATGGGTGTTAGCTCTTCTCTAAATGTTTTACAGAATTCACCTGTGAAGCCATCTGGTCATGGCTTTGTTTGTTGGAAGATTTTTAATCACAGTTTGTTGGAAGATTTTTAATCACCGTTTCAATTTCATTACTTGTGATTGGTCTGTTCATATTTCTGTTTCTTCCTGGTTCAGTCTTGAACGGTTATACCTTTCTAAGAATTTTTCCATTTCTTCCAGGTTGTCCAATTTATTGGCATAGAGTTGCCTGTAGTAGTCTCTTAGGATGCTTTGTATTTCTGCGGTGTCTGTTGTAACTTCTCCTTTTTCATTTCTAATTTTATTGATTTGAGTCCTCTCCCTCTTTTTCTTTTTTATAAATTTATTTTATTTATTTATTTTTGGCTATGTTGGGTCTTCGTTGCTGCACGCAGGCTTTCTCTAGTTGTGGCGAGTGGGGGCTACTCTTTGTTGCGGTGTGTGGGCTTCTCATTGCAGTGGCTTCTCTCATTGCGGAGCACGGGCTCTAGGTGCCTGGGCTTCAGTAGTTGTGGCACGCAGGCTCAGTATTTGTGGCTCGTGGGCTCTAGAGCGCAGACTCAGTAGTTGTGGTGCACGGGCTTAGTTGCTCCGCGGCATGTGGGATCTTCCCAGACCAGGGCACGGACCTGCATCCCCTGCACTGGCAAGCGGATTCTTAACCACTGTGCTACCAGGGAAGCCCCCTCTT